ACCTACAAAAAAAAGTTCTTACCACCAAAGTCCTTGGCACTGACGAACAGTTCAACATCAGAAACTGATATAATGACACGGAAGAAGAAACATTAATGTCTGCCTTGCTATGGCACCCTAAGGAGCATGGGACCTTTCCATTTGACTTGAATCTGAAACCTTTTATTATTAGTGAACTTAAGAGAAATCTATTTTTGTTGTCTCTTTATATCACATGGTAAGTGCTTAATAAATGCTTTATCTATTCGTCTGTTTATTGCTGTAGTAGGAAAAAGAAAGCATAACTTAGTATCCTATCTTGAGATGATGAGCCTTTTAAAACATAGCTAAGTCCTTGATTGACAGAAGCAGTGACAAGACTTTTCAGCTTCCTAGGACCATCCAGGACTTCCTTCTGGTATTCTAGCCTTGGGGAACCCACTGTCACCTCTACACCCTATTGAGGCACCTACTTTAATGGAGGTAGGGGTCAGTTGCATTCCTCAGAAATGCATACAAGGCAGCCCTAAGAGTGGGCTGTGGGGACCAGGGAAAGGTTAGAAGCAAAGAAGGCGAAGGATAGGACTGATGAAAATCAGGGCTGATGAAGCAGAGGCAAGATTGAGGTCATTACTGAAGGGAAGGGGAATGTACAGAGGAAACAGGGAGATGCCAAAGGGGAGGAGGAGGGTGTATCAATTTGTCAATGTAAAGTTGAAGCTGGAAACTAGGGAATGGAGAGAAGGATCAGAGCACTCTAGCATAAATCCCATGGCATGAAGAGAAAGTGTAGGTGACATGATGATGGTTAGGGGCTGCCATAAGTGAAGAGGGTAGTAGGAGTGGGAGAGTCAATCTGTCTTCTCAGGGCTTTCCATGCATAAAGGTCAGCCTGTCTTCTCAAGGCCTCCACCTCAGGCACCTTGCTCTGGTTTAGAAAACCAGACCAAGGCTTGAGCCCTCCATGTTTAATCTGAAGGCAGAGTGAGGGGGCCATCTAGTGACTGGGGCTGAAAGGGGGAGACAGAAGGAGCTGTTTCAAGGAAGGGCGCCATCTGGGGGCCTGGGGGTAGAACACAAAAAGAGGTCACCTATCTTCTAGTGGGATGGATGGAAGGATGGATGGATGGATGGATGGATGGATGGATGGATGGATGGATGGGGAAACCCAGGTGGACTGGAAGAAGAGAACGGGACTTGGCTGACAGGCAGAAGGAATAGGCTGGGATTTGGGACTGACAGTCAGGCAAAGGGAGGGGCCTGGCTTGTCTGGAAGTGGGTGGGGGAGGCAAAGGGAGAGAGCCATCTGGTGTCTGGAGGTGGAAGACAGAGAGAGTGTCTGGTGTCTGGGAAATGGGAAGGGTGTCGGTGAGATGAAAGGGAGGGGGGAGAGAGACAGTAGGGGGAGGGGGTCTGGGACGAAGAGGAATTGTTTGCCCCTGCTTCATCCACCTCCAGCACTTTGACTGAAAGTCTTTCCGAATCAGAGCCTCGGTTTTCTTAGACAATGAGACTGTGGGCATGGTGGGTTTTGTTTTTCTTTTCTTTTCTTTTCTTTTCTCTTTTTACCCCCAATTCATGACGGAGAGATCGATGCAACTGAAGAGGGCATCAGTACTGGATCCGATCGGGGCTTTCCCTACACCCTCATTATCCTCATCATTATTTTAAGACTTGACGATCCACACAGCTCCTGACATCATTCTTTCCCGGGTTAAGGGAAGGTGGGGGAGAGGAAGATACGGGGAGGGAGGGTTGGGGAGAAGGCAGGGATGTCGCATTGCTACCGACTGAAGCTGTGAGGGATCCTGGAGGCTTTAAACCAACCTTTGCGCAATCCGATGGGCCACGCCAAGCTGAGTCCCCTTCCTGTTCTCCCCTAGGGGGGCGGAGAAGGAACAGGCAACGTAGAAGGAGCACTTCAGCATTATAGTTGTGCTCTTTTCAGATCCGGGAGAGTCTGGGCTGGGCACCCGAATTGAAACTGCATCATGCCCAACCTCGACCCTTTCCCCTCCCACCCAGACCTCTGCTTTCTCTAACTTCTCACTTGAGATAAGACTCATTTTCAGCTCTTGGTTTTTAAGCAAGCAAGCAAGCAAGCAAGCAAGCGCACAAACACACAGTATTAAAAAAAAAAAAAAGCCAACCATCAATGTTGTCGGTTTGGGGTTTTTCCACGTGCATTTATGATTTGCATTTAATTAATTCCTCCTCTGTTGTTTCCTTGCCTGTTGCTCTCTGGCTGACTGCTTTGTATATATGGAAAATCGGCTAATGAGGAGGTTCCCCGGGATTCTAGACTTCACTCCTTCACTGCCGGGCTCGCGAACGTAGTGGCCAGTGGCGGAAAGCGAACGAGTGGTGTGTTTATTAATTTACTTATTTGTGAAGTCGGGGCGGGGGGAGCGGGGGTGGAAAAAGGGAGGGGAAGGGAAGAGAGAGACGTGCCAGGGCGGGGGAAGGTGATCAAAAGGGGTGCAATATTCCACACAGTCAAGATCACTTCTTATTCCCTGGCACTATTTAATCATATTACATCAACACGTGCTGCGCCAGGTAACCACATCAAACGACCCTACCTTCTTTGGGATATAACCTTCTATCTTTCTTGTATCTATTTTCACGGGTTGAATTCTCTCTCTCTCTCTCTCTCTCTCTCTCTCTCTCTCTCTCTCTCTCTGCAAAAAGTTAGAACACCAACTTGTCATCTGAGGTCTGTCTGTCTGGAGCTAACCCTCGGAACTTTTAGTACCGATCCGTCTTTTATTTGATAAAGTTGGAAGGTGTTTTCTAGATGCCCAAGGCCTGATCAGATCTCTTCCTGAGTCGTAGGATAGGGGAACCACACTTTGTACATTGTAAAGATCTGAATGGAGGGGACTATGAAAAAAATGGGAGGGGGATGAGGCAAGAGCTTACGTCCCATTTGGCAATACCATGAGTCTTAATTTCCACCACCACCCTCTCCTCAAAGGCTATTACAATGAAATATTTCATAGACCTACTTAACATACTGCATTGCCGAGGAAGTTAAATCTTCAGGGTTTGGGGGAGCTTTATTTACTTTCTTCTCCCCATCCCAGATATTTGGATTCTTTTCTTTTTGTCTCATTTCTTTCAGGGTATCTGATTATTTCTTAGTATATGGCTCTATCTCTCATATGTACCCTTACGACCCTTCTCCACCCCAGTAGATTACTTCTTTTTTTAAAGAAGAAATAATAAATGTCATGTTCTTCAAAGGAGAAACTTAAAATTCCTAGTTTTTCTGATTTTAATGGAACTTTCTCAGTAAGTGTGGAGGTACAGGGAACTCTATAAAGATTCAGAGATCTAAGGTCAATGCTGCTGGCTTGGTAGTTGTTTCCCGTAAAGAGACATGACTGTTCCTTAGAGAAAATGCTTTTGAATTGAGCCTCCTCCTGCCCCCCCCACCCCCGCCCATTCCTGTTCCCAGCGACCCTACTTGTCTCTAGTCATCTTAGGTCTGGCAAATAATTTTGGGAGCCCAGAATAAAGACATCGCTGCACACCGCTGAAGAGAGCCCTGAATTTAACATTAAACTCTCCCCTTTGCCCTGCACTTTGCTCGGATCGATCTGTGGGGCTGTTTGCGAAGCTTTACCAAAAGATTGCTGTCCTTCAAGAGGAAATGACTCTCTTCCCACACCGCTTCCCCTCCCCACCCCCGCCACATACACCTCATATTCCCTTCTTCGTGGACCTGGGCGGGGGGGTCCGGTTCCCTAATATCTCTCAGCTTGAACACACCTCTTTAGTCTGGGCACCGGTAGTATGATCTGATCCCAGGGTATCTGTTCTCTCACTGTCCTCTTCTGCAAGTTTGAAGAGGTGTACATCTATTTCAACTTTGTGTTTCAAGCATTTTGTGTAACAATTAAAGTATTTCAAGTAACAATCCTCTCAGATATTGCCAGTTATAATTACCCTCCCCCCTACCAACACACTCACACTTCTAAGTCCACTGCTAACCTTATTCTACTTCCAAGGATGCTTGCTTCAGTGCCCCAAGCCTCTTCCCTCTGTGCAAAGAG